GAGAGACTGAAATTATAGGAGTAGCCGAGACCACAGGGGAAACAACATTTTTTTTTTTTTTTTTTTGAGACGGAGTTTCGCTCTTGTTACCCAGGCTGGAGTGCAATGGCACAATCTCGGCTCACCGCAACCTCCGCCTCCTGGGTTCAGGCAATTCTCCTGTCTCAGCCTCCTGAGTAGCTGGGATTACAGGCACGAGCCACCATGCCCAGCTAATTTTTTGTATTTTTAGTAGAGACGGGGTTTCACCATGTTGACCAGGATGGTCTCGATCTCTTGACCTTGTGATCCACCCGCCTCGGCCTCCCAAAGTGCTGGGATTACAGGCTTGAGCCACCACGCCCGGCCGGGAAACAACATTTAAGAGCTGAAGAGGGGAGAGTGCATTTAAGAAATGAGGAGGAGGCCAGGCGCACTGGCCCCCATCTATAATTCCAACACTTTGGGAGGCTGAGGTGGGAGGATTGCTTGAGGCCAGAAGTTCGTGACCAGCAAGGGCAACATAGCAAGACCCAATTTCTACAAAAATTAAATAAGTAAAATTAAATCCTAAGCTCTTCAATGGACCCTCTCTTGGCCCAGGGGACCCTGGAGAAACCTGAACAACTGAATTCCAGGCCTTGATGGGAAGGGAGGTCAGACAGGTCTCATTATACCTCTTTCCTTTCGGAGTTTAGGCACAACTGACCAGCATTAACATTAAAATGGAGATCATAAGACTGATGAAACAGACTCTTCATGACGATAAGATACCAAATTCCAACCTCACTCTCGTAGCATCACATGACAGATAGCAGACCATGAAGGAAATCAAAATGTTTTACCCCAAAATAGATTTCTCTGTCATATTTTGAAATGGTCCTGTAAAGCCATCTTTTACAGGGAAAATTTTGCATCTATAGAGAATCTCCATTAATGTAGCTAGGCCTTTCCCAGATCTAGGAGAGATTAATTAAGAATTTGACACTTTTTAAGGTCAAAAAAGAAACATTTATCATTTATTCTCTCAAAAGTCTGCTACCTGGAGGTTTCATCTAACAAGAACCTTGGTTTCCACAACCCCCTTTATCTTAACCCAAGAATTTCTTTCTGCTAATTTCAAGTCTTTAGACAATGCTTCACACTTTTAACAAATTGCCAATCAGAAAATCTTTGAATCCACTTATGATCTATAAGCTCCACCTCCTGCCTTTTTGAGCCAAATCAATATATACCTTTCATGTATTGATTTATGACTTCACCTATAACTTAATGTATAAAATCCAATTTTGGCCAGGTACAGTAGCTCATGCCCATATGCCCATACTCTCAGCACTTTGGGAGGCCAAAGCAGGAGGATCGCTTGAGCGCAGAAGTTTGAGACCAGCCTGGGGAGCACAGTGAGACCTCATCTCTAAAAAAATTTTTTTAAAAAATTAACCAGAAATGGTGGTGTGCACCTGTGGTCTCAGCTATTCAGAAGGCTGAGGTGGGAGGATTGCTTGAGACTGGAAGTTCGAGGCTGCAGTGAACCATTATTACACCACTGTACTCCAGTCTGGGTGACAGAGTGAGACTCCATCTCAAAAATAAATAAATAATGAACTAAATTGTAACCTGCCACCTTGGGCACACTTTCTCAGGACCTGTTGAGACAGTTCCCTAGGCCATGGTCACTCATACTAGCTCAAAAGAAACCTGTTTAAGTATTTCACAGAGGCAATGTGAGATGGCTAAAGGCTATAATCCTAGCACTTTGGGAGGCCAGGCAGAAGGATCACTTGAGGTGAGGAGTTTAAGACCAGCCTGGGAAACATAGGGAGACCCCGTATCTACAAAAAAAAAATAAACAAATAAATTAGGCATGGTAACACATGCCTGCTGTCCCAGATACTCAAGAGGCTGAAGCAGGAGGATCGTTTGAGCCCAGGAGGTTGAGGTGCAGTGAGCCATGATTGTGCCACGGCATTCCAGCATGGATGACAGAGCAAGACTCAGTCTTAAAAAAGAAAATAAGGTTGGGTCTGTGGCGGCTCATGCCTGTAATCCCAGCATTTTGGGAGGCCAAGGCAGGTAGATTGCTTGAGCTCAGGAGTTCAAGACCAGCCTGGGCAACATGGCAAAACCCCATCTCTACTACACGTAAAAATAAAATAAAAATAAAAGTTAGCTGGGCATGGTGGCATGAACCTGTAGTCCCAGCTACTTGGGAGGCTGAGATGGAAGAATCATCTGAGCCCAGGAGGTGGAGGCTGCACTGAGCTGTGATGGTGCCACTGTACTCCAGCCTGGACAACCAGAGTCAGATCCTGCCTCAATATTAATAAGAATAAATAAATTAAGAAAATAAATATTGTATAGAGTTTGTTTTTTGCATTCTCAGTAGGTGCTATGGTTATCCCTGTTTAGACTGACAGGGACACTGTGGCATAGGGCGCTAACTGACCAGCACAGAATCACACAACTAGTTATGGCAGAGGTGAGAGTTAAAGCCAGTCTGTTCATGCTTTTAGTCACCATGATACTGCCTCCACACAGAAAAAATTAACGAAGGGGTGACTACTAGGGTAGGGAATGGTGAGAGAGAATTTTGCTATTTCATACTCTCAAGTATTCAAAAGATTACTTTACCATATACATTATTACTTTGACAACAAAAACTAGTTTAATTTTTTTTTTTTGACGGAGTCTCACTCTGTCACCCAGGATGGAGTGCAGTGGTGTGATCTTGGCTCATTGCAACCTCTACCTCCCGGGTTCAAGCGATTCTCTTGCCTCAGCCTCCTGAGTGGCTGGGACTACAGGCACACACCACCACATCCAGTTAATTTTTGTATTTTTAGTAGAGACAAGGTTTTACCACCATCCATCCGCTTGCCTCAGCATCCCAAAGTGCTAGGATTACAGGCTTGAGCCACTGTGCGGGGCTTCAAATCTGTTTCAAAACTGCATGTTTTTTTTTTTTTTTTTTTTTTTTTTTTGAGACGGAGTTTCGCTCTTGTTACCCAGGCTGGAGTGCAATGGCGCGCTCTCGGCTCACTGCAACCTCCGCCTCCTGGCTTCAGGCAATTCTCCTGCCTCAGCCTCCTGAGTAGCTGGGATTACAGGCACGCGCCACCATGCCCAGCTACTTTTTTGTATTTTTAGTAGAGACGGGGTTTCACCATGTTGACCAGGATGGTCTCGATCTCCTGACCTCGTGATCCACCCGCCTCGGCCTCCCAAAGTGCTGGGATTACAGGCTTGAGCCACCGCGCCCGGCTAAAACTGCATGTTAATGAACACCTCCTGGGGGCCTTGCAGGGAGGTTGCAGTGGAGTGCTCGGGCAGCAAGGCCAGGAGCAGATGGGATGGTCGAGGTTACGTACTGACTGGTTTGCTGAAGGGAAATAAAAAGGAGATGCTGGCTTGCCTTCCATATAATTAAGTTTCAGTCCTGAGAGAACAGGCAGCATTTAAAAGCACAGTGGCCAATATTTGGCTTTGGTTTTTACATGGGCTCTTTCTTTATTGAAGTCTCTCTCACTTGGAAACCTGTGGTGGATTCCTGCATGCACAGCTGTTCTGGGATTTATTTCAAGTTTTTAAAATTAGGTAATACATTCCTATAACTGAAAAAGTTAAAACCAGTTAAAATGGTATACACTGGGAAGTCTTACTCCCAGCCAGTCTGTTCTGCCCTTTCCCTCTTGTCCCTTAATTGCAGCATTTTGGGAGCTCCCAACAAGTATTATACTTTGTTTCCTTTCAGTGACTCCTTGGGTAACTGCCAGCACACACACATGTATTATTTCTTTTTTACACAGTCGGAAGCACTGCTTTGTACCTTTCTACATCAGTGCACGGAGTACTTCCTCCTTTTCATTTTATTTTTGCAGCTGCCCTTTGGATTAGTTTAATCTACGATGAGTTTACTCCGTGTCCTTGCTATTGGCTTTCTTGAGGTGTCTCCAGGTTAGAAACAGTGTTTCTTTTTTGCTCCTCTATTTTTAGAGTTCTTCCCTGTCATCAACTTCCTAGCAACTAACTGTATTTCTACCACACTCCCCTAATGAGAGATAAAGGCAGGCTTCCTCTTGCCTTCTCTTTGCCCTCTCATCTAATTCACCCAAGGAGCACCAGCCTCTTCAATGACCCTTGGGGCAGCAGCTCACACCTGTTCATTCTGGTGATTAAATACAGAGCAGAGGCACCTTCATTTGAATCTCTTGTCACTGGCAATTTTCATCTTGGAAACAGGTGTGCTGGAGAGGACTTCTCTCCTCCTCTAGGTATAAATGCTTATAGTTTATTGGTAAACAACCATGGACAGAGCTGTGTATCTGTTGAACAGCTATGAAGTTAGGTATTTTCCTTCTTATTTTTATTTTTTTTAAATTCTCTCTCCCTCTCTCTCTTTCTCTCTCCATATATATATATATATATATATATATATATATATATATAGTTGTTGTTTTGTCGTTGTTGTTTGAGATGGAGTCTTGCTCTTGTTGTCTAGGCTGGAGTGCAATGGAGCGATCTCAACTCACGGCAACCTCCACCTCCCAAGTTCAAGCGATTCTCCTGACTCAGCCTCTCGGGTAACTTGGATTACAGGCATGTGCCACCACGCTCGGCTAATTTTGTATTTTTGGTACAGACTGGGTTTCTCCATGTTAGTCAGGCTGGTTTTGAATTCCTGACCTCAGGTGATCCGCCCGCCTCGGCCTCCCAAAGTGGTGAGATTACAGGCGTGAGCCACTTATATTTTAGTATGAGGCGGTACCTGTTATCTGCTTGTCTTAAAAAATATGCTGAAGCTGCTACCTATTGGGGGTGTAGGGATTAAAGAGGAGCAACAATTCACCTGCAAAGCACTTATTTGCAGCTTGCCCTAGCATGGGTGGGACACTCCTTAATGAAAGACTATTATGTTTTTAACAACCATCACTTGTGTAGCGGGCTGACTCAGGGGATTGTAATATTCTATTTTAATGAAAGTGTTGGTGTTTCCTCATCTGTTCATTTTGAACAAGTGTCTTTTCCCTGAGTTTGGTGGCCTGCTTCTGGAGTGCTCAGTTCTGCTGCCGACATGCTCACCCAGCTCGAGACGGCCATGGACACCATGATTAGAACCTTCCACCGCTATTCTTCCAAGGAAGGGGACAGATTCAAGCTCAGCAAGGGGGAACTGAAACTGCTCCTGCAACAAGAGCTCACGGAATTCCTCTCGGTGAGTCAAGCCTTTTCTGCGGCGTTCGGTTGAGGGTAGATGAGGTGCAGATTCCAGGACAGCCTTTAGGTTCATACTCTCCTATGTGGCTCTCATCCTGTGATGTCCTGTAAATGTTTTTTAGCATCAGTCACTCACTTAGATCAGCTGCTGTTTGCTTTTCTTGGTTTCTAGGTCTGAGCCAGGATTATACGGACCTGGGGCAGGGAACTAGACTCATTTAGAGTTTGTGGCTGGTTTACACCTACCTGTCAATAGGCTCTTAGAAGTGTCTTTAGATGCTATACTTGGAAATTAGGAATTTAATGTAAATAAAAGGAAGATGCAATTTCAGTTATCATCATGAACTTCAGAGTCTGGGAGTCAGAAATTTCCTTTCTCGTTTTAGTGCCAAAAGGATCCCCAGTTAGTTGATAAGATAATGCAGGACCTGGATGCCAATAAGGACAACAGAGTGGATTTTAATGGATTCGTGGTCATGGTGGCAGCTCTGACAGTTGCTTGTAATGATTACTTTGTAGAATAATTGAAGGAGAAAGGAAAATAAAGATAAGTAATAAGCTCATCTAAAGGGACAAATGTATCTGAAGTTATATACTTACTGTTCATTTATACCTTTGAGATCTATAGACCCAGTAATGTCATTTGTAGCTATAATATACTGTGCATATATTAGTAATTACTTGGTACTATTGAATTATGTGTTCCTTAAAATACTGACTTTACATAAATATTCCAAATCTCATATGCCCTACTTGAAATTTGCCTATGTTAAGAGGTTATGGCCGGGCGTGGTGGCTCACACCTGTAATTCCAGCACTTTGGGAGGCTAAGGTGGGCAGATTGAGATGTCAGGAGTTCCAGACCAACCTGACCAACATGGTGAAACCCCATCTCTACTAAAAATACATAAATTAGCTGAGTGTGGTGGCACGCACTATAATCCTAGTTACTCAGGAGGCTGAGGCAGGAGAATCGCTTGAACCCAGGAGGTGAAGTTGCAGCCACTGCACTCCAGCCTGGGTGACAGAGCAAGACATCGTCTCAAAAAAAAAAAAAAAAAAAAGGATTATATACATCTTTTTGGTCTGTCAAAAAGAGGGCATCACAAAAATTTAGCTACTTCCAAAGGAGACTGAATTTGGCAAATTTCTAAGTTGGATATTCTTATCCTTAAATTGTACTTTGAACTTCTTACCCTATTAAAAAAAAATTAACTGGGTTTCCTCATACTCTTGCGACTGCTTCAGATGGAAGGTGTGAGGGTCTATGAGCAGAAAGCCTGCTTAGTAGAAGTGCTGGCTTTTTCAGTGATTTAGTCAGGGAATGGATAGGTTCAGGGTTAGGTGCTCAAGCCAAGAGAGCTGAAGCCAGTAACTCTTAGGAGTTTGCCCCTTGGGTTGGATAACCTGAGGCAAGCATTCTACAATTTTTTTCCCACTGCTTCTCCCTGGAGCTAAGCCTCCCTCCGTAGGTCCCAGGGAGGCCACCTTTTCTTCCTTGTCTCACTTCCCTGCCCCAACCCTATGTTTTCTGCAACTCTCAAATAAATGACTTCCACACGAACCCTCATCTCAGGGTCTCCTTCTGAGGGAACCCAAACAATGATAGATCCTGTGGAGAATTTTAAGAAAGGGAGTGTTATAATTATATTTACGCATGTAAATGATTATCCTAGCTACTATGTAAAGAAAGAACTGTAGAGAAGGCAGTCATGGCAGGCAACCAGCTAGGAGGCTGTTGCTGTGGTCTGGGTAAGAGATGATGGTCTATCTGGCCAGCAGTTTAGCAGTGGAGATGAAGAGAAGCAGTTGAATTGGTTAAGTATTTGGAGCTGGGACTGATAGGACTTGCTGATGGATTGTTAGTTAAGTGTGAGGAAAAGAGAGAAGGCCAGGATGATAAAGCAGCTGCTGCTGTTTGCCCATCTGATACCTGTTCCTCCTTTCTTCCATGTATCAGAACCTGGTTTGTGCAGCGTGGTAATGTGCCTGGCCAAAAACCCATGTTTCCTAGCCTCTCTAACAGCTGGTATGGGGCTTGTAACACAATTCTGGACAATGTGAGGCAAGCAGAAGGCTGCTAGGGATTTCTGGGAACGTGTTGCTATTGTAGACAAGGAGCCATGTAGCTCTTTGTCTTGCACCTTGTTGATTCCTTCCTTCTTTTTTTGTTGTTGTTGGAGGTGGATGTGAGGCTGGAGGTGGAACTGCTGTCTTGCAACCATGAGGATAGTGGAGAAAAAAGATAAAAGGAGCCTGGGCGTTGTCATTGAGGAGCCACTGCAGAGCCTTGCTTGCCTGCTTCTAGTTCTCTCATTACGTGGGGGGAAAAAAAAAAGTGACAGCTCTCTGGTTATGTGGCTTCTATTACATGCAGCCAAACACAATCTATAAGGTTGAGAGTTTTGATCAAGCAAATGATGCAATTTACTAAATGGGAAGGACTGAGGGTGGAGTCACGTCGGTGTGAGGGCATGTGGGCAGATCAACAGCTCATTTTAAGGTGGTATTGGACATCCAGGTGGAGTTTCAAATGGGAAGTTGGATATAGGGTCTGGTCTGGACCTCAGGGTAAATGGGGGACTGGAGATGGAATTGGGAGTCATTCGTATCTACATGGTCTTAAGCCACAAGATTCGAGGAGGTCACTCCAGATGAGAATGTGGATAGAGAAGAAGAAACATCTGATGGTTTGCTATAAGGAAAAGGAGGAGCCATAAATGATACAAAAGATGCATGGCCAGGGAAAAGCAGGAGAGTGTAGTGCTTCAGAAGCCTAGAGAAGACAGCATGTGGAGACGAGAGACATCCATTGAGAGGTGGAGTATCATGAAAACAAAGACTTGACCACTAGATTTGGGAAGGTGAGATCATCTGCGACATTGGTGACACTGATGGGAGTTGGATTTTGGTTACGGAAGAGCCTATCTTTCCTTCTTTGTTTCTTTTTTTTTTTTTTTGAAATGGAGTCTCACTCTATTGCCAGGCTGGAGTGCAGTGGCGTGATCTCAGCTCACTGCAACCTCCACCTCCTGGGTTCAAGCGATTCTCGTGCCTCAGCCTCCCAAGTAGCTGGGATTACAGGTGCCTGCCACCATACCCAGCTAATTTTTGTATTTTAGTAGAGTCAGTGTTTCACCATGTTGGCCAGGATGGTCTTGATCTCCTAACCTTGTGATCTGCCCTTGCCTCGGCCTCTCAAAGTGCTGGGATTACAGATGTGAGCTACCTCTCCCGGATTTAAAAAAATTTTTTTATATTTTTTTAGATAAGGTCTGACTCTGTTGCCCAGGCTGGAGGACAGTGGTGCAATCTCAGCTCACTGCAACCTCCACCTCCTGGGTTCAAGTGATTCTCATGCCTCACCCTCCTCAGTACCTGAGATCACAGGCACACCACCACGCCCAGCTAACTTTTGTGTTTTTAGCAGAGACTGGGTTTCACTATGATGTCCAAGCCAGTTTCCAACTCCTGAGCACAAGTGATCCACCTGCCTCGGCCTCCCAGAGTGCTGGGATTACAGGCGTGAGCCACTGCACCCAGCCCAGAAGAAACTGTTTCAATCTGGCAGGTAGAAGTTGCTCAATAAACCTATGTTTAGGGAACAAATGAAATAATCTGCCAATTGCGGACTTTCTACTGCTAAGTCCTGACATTTTTTTCACCCCCTTAAATAGAATAATATTTTTTGTCTTCCTTAAACCGGTTCTGAGCAGATAGGACAGGGAGAATTTAGAGAGCAGGACATTTAAGAGAAGAAATGCAGACCATGGGTGTTTACTCATGTCTTTCAAAAGGTTATGTTGTAGGAGTTATTAAGAAATCATTTTAGGCAGATAGTGAGGAAAAGTGGTCCTTGGGAAGTTTTCATTTTTTAAAGCATCTCCGGAAAATTTCTTGTAAAGCCACAGCTCGTAAAGCCAGGCCGGCAACCTTTGATATGCAAATGCAGTTATTAGGAACTGGGTCCACCCAACATGGCCAGGCCGGCAACCTTTAATATGCAAACGTAAGCCATTAGAAACTGGATCCACGGGGCAGCATAGCCGCCCTGTCCTCATCTGTGTTGAACATCATGGCGCCCTATATTTGCATATTAAAAGCTAGGGTGGGAGGGCTAGCCTTTACTAGGGTTACATGAATGACATGCCTGGTCAAACCAACCCCCTGAGCCCTATGCAAATCAGACACTGACTTCTCCAGCTATCGCATGTAACTGGATATTACCTGAGGTAGGGGGGTTCCCTCTTTCTGCTTTGGAGCCCCCTTCCTGTTAAAACATGCCCAGTCTGAATGAAGAGACCCCTCAAACAGGCTTTGTGAACCACATGGCAGTTTTTTTCACCCTGGTGTGGGCGGGCTGAGTCCGAAAAGGGAGTCAATGGAGGGATAGGAGTGGGATAGGAGTGGGTTTTATAGGTTTGGGGTAGGCAAGTGGAAAGTTACCGATGTTACTGTTTAGACCCTTTTTTTGCAAGCAGGGAGTGAGTCTTAGGATCTGGAGTCAGGAGGTTGACCAAGGTGGGTTACAAAGTCCAGTTGCCTTATCAGTTGGGGCGGGAATAAGGAACAACAGAGAATGTGTTTAAGTTCAGTTTTTACAAGTTGATAGACTACTCATGCAAGAGAAGGTCTGGACATTTTGCAGCGGCCTTTAAACTTTTCATTTTAATTTACCCCAAAGTTTACATATTCTAAAGTGAGTCACTAAAACATGAAAAATAAATCCAGAATTTTCTTCACCTTGTAGTCTAGGATGGACATTTTTAACAGAGAAATAAATGGAAAAACAATGTTCATTTCATGGCATTTCTAAAAATCTATTAAAAGTGGGTAAAAGCAATCTCTGTTTTAAATTACATTTCAAATGAGTAAGAATTACATGATGCACCAAAAATTCTTTTCCAGTAAGAGAGAGGCTTTCTTTTCCTAATGTTAGGAAAACACAATTTTGTAGAAGGCAAAATTGATTATTTCTTATACCCAGGGGCACTGGCCTTTGCATTTGCTGGAGTTTAAATAAATGAAGTTTAAACATTCAAGGACCGTCTCTGAATGAGTACAGTCTAATGTTTAACATTTTCTCTTTGTGGTTATTAGATAGAGCAGCTTATGGAGACAAAAGCCTAGGCTTGCTTGAAAGCCTGGGTTTGAGATGTAACTAACAATGCCAGTAGCAAGAAGGCTTAAGCAATACAAAACCTTAAAATTTAATTTTGTTTTGTTTTGTTTTTTCTAGATGGAGTCTTGCTCTGACACACAGGCTGGAGTGCAGTGGCACAATCTCGGCTCACTGTAGCCTCTGCCTCCCAGGTTCAGTCGATTTTCCTGCCTCAGTCTCCTGACTAGCTAGGACTACAGGTACATACCACCACACCTGGGTACTTTTTGTATTTTTAGTAGAGATGGTGTTTCACCATGTTGGCCAAGCTGGTCTTGAACTCCTGACCTCAGGTGATCCACCGGCCTTGGCCTCCGTAAGTGCTGGGATTACAGGCATGAGCTACTGTGCCCAGCCAAAAAT